TACGGGTGGTGTAAATTTTTTTAAGCAATTTCTCTTTGGGGACGAATAACACCACACCGCCTTGGAAATACATCAACAGGAAATTCAGGATTTAGATTCCTCGTTTTTCTTTTTTTCCTGAGAATCTGAGGAGGGGAAGAGACAAAAAGCTTGAAAAATATAGGTTGCTTTGTTGGAATTGTGCTTCTGTCTATTTTTTTAAAAAATTATTTTAAATAAGGACTCCCGGTAGATTAATAAACAAACTTTTCATGGGTGAGTACTTGATCTTAATAAACTGTGAATAATGTGCACTTTCTTCTCCTGAATTAAAATAAACCTGCGTTTACAGGAAGAGGGCATGAAGGTCACGAATCAAGATCAGGGAAGATGCTACTTCAAATTTCAGATAGGACATAGAGTAAGAGGATTAGAAGGAACTTTGGAGGTCTTCTAGTCCAACCCCTGGCGCAAATCCAAGACTCTGTTGGTCATTGGGACCAAGGATTTTCTCTTCCAAGCTTTTGGGTTCATGCTGGAGCTCATCCTCAGGAAAGTTCTGTTTACATTGGGATGTTCTGGGTGCAATATTTATATATCGTGCCTGTTGTGTGTAACTTTTTAGATATAGTCACTGGCTGTTGTTTCTTTGTGCTGCCACGTCCTTGGCTCCCAAGTACTTGATAAGATGGGGGTAAATCCCTTCTCTGGCCAACAATCTTAGTAGTCTGCAAAATTGAATGTATGTCCTTCTTTATTGCAATGTGAGAGCAATGAGTTTGGATCTCCTCATCTGACTGCCCACTGGTGTTCTTGCAAACTAGTGGTGAGTTTCCTCCTTGTCTGTCCTAAATAGTCACAAGGGGTAGTCACAATCCATGTAGGGGATCCAGTAGATTGATTTCCTTCCCTCCTTCCTTCCTTCCTTCCCTTCCTTCCTGTCTTTCTTTCTTCCTTCCTTCCTTCCTTCCTTCCTTCCTTCCTTCCTCCATTCATTCTTCATTCATGGGTGTGTTTGGGTTATCTCACAAATTAAGTTTCACCTGCATTTTGTTCTTTGAATGCCATTCCCTCCCATATCTGAAGGCAACCATTTTTTGGAATACTACCTAGGATGCATAAATATACATTAGAGTATCTTACCGCTCACGATTACAATAATCATTATTCTAATTTAATGGGAGCAAACAGTCGCAGTGCATCCATTTAGAAAAACTAGGCATTGACTGCTTCAAGGGCTTCCTGTTATTCCTCCGTTTGTTTTCTTTTGTTTTTGCTCAAGAGAACAGAGTTATGGATGGCAGGATCAACAGAAGAAATGGCCCATACTAGGGAAAGTCAATGGTCCATGATGGAAGAGACCCAAGGCTTGGAGCCTCAAGGTCAACAGTAGACTACCAACCAATCTTCTAACTCATGCAAAAGTACAGGTAGTGCTCGATTTACAGCAGTTCGTTTAATGACAGTTCAAAGTTAAAACAGCCCTGAAAAAAAGGCAACATGTGTTCTGACAAAGGCTTCCCGAGACCATAATTAAGCACATGCTTAGTCAAAACAACTCTTGTTTTATTTCAATGCTGGGAATTATGTGCATTCCCAGCTGGTGAAGACCAAACAGTCTCTCGAGATAAGCACTCACCTTTCTCTTCTTTGAATCGCTGCCAAGAACGGTTGCAAGAACTGGGTATGTCTAATCTGGTGAAAAGGAGGACCAGGGGAGACATGAGAGCAGTCTTCCAATATTTGAGGGGCTGCCATAGAGAAGAGGGAGTCGAGCTATTCTCCAAAGCCCCTGAGGGCAGGAGAAGCAGTAATGGGTGGAAAGTAATCAAGGAGCCTCCAGAAGTTGTGGGTGCTCTGACACTGGAGGTTTTTAACAAGAGACTGGACAACTATTCATCTGACATGGTATAGAGTCTCCTGCTGGAGGAGGAGGTTGGATTAGAAGACCTCCAAGGTCCCTCCCAGCTCTGTTATTCTTTACATGGCTGAGAGTTGTCTCTCTGAGTAGTATTAATATTATATATATATATATATATATAAAATCATAGCTTCCTCCAGTCCTCAGATTAATGGGAAACTGGCCTGCAAAACAAAGGAATGAAGTTCACTTGTCCTTCCAACCAATGTACTAGGACTTCCCTCTTTTCTTCTCTCATTAAGCCTTTTTGGGGGGTTGGGGCCACTCTGTCACTCCAACTTTAAGGTCATTATAAGGTTGTGCTGGAATCCATCTCTATCTTGGATGCTCTATTTGCCGGAAAGCTTGTGCTTCCATTACTTAGCATTCGTTCAGGTTTGCTATTTTTCCAGTTCTCTGTTTTGTTTTGTTTTCACCCTCCACCTTAATGGAGAAACAATTAAAATTTATGAGCTGGATGATGTCGAAGGAAACTTGGATTTCCATTTTCACCTCCGCCTGCTGTGGACCAACAGCTCATGGTGGCAAGTTGGTGGTGTAAATGGCTTCCTTTATCTGATAATAAGCCCCAAATCCCTCCCAAGGCTCCCTAGAATGGATCTGTCGAAATGTCTGGTTCACACAACATGCCAGAACTGTAGGTTTGGGATGGGAGGGAGCCTTTGAATTTATAGAAAATAATCTCATCGTTAGAAAGTAGAAGGGTCATAAGGCTGGAAGGGACCTCAGAGTCTAGCCCAACCCTCCGTTCATAAGGCAGGAGCTGTACAGCATTCCAGTCAAATGGTTGTTCAGTATGTTTGAAGACCTCCAATGATGGAGCTTCCCACAACTTCGGAAGGTAAGCTGTTCCGTTGATTAATTGTTCTTACACTCTGGAAATTTCTCCTCTTAGATCTTGGTTGGATGTCACTTTAATGAATTTCCACCCATTGCTTCCTGTCCTGCCTTCAGATAGTTTGGAGAACAAGTCAGCCCTCCCTTCCCTGTGACAAAGGGAAAGGTTCCCCTCCTTGCACATCCGTGCTAGTCGTTCCCGGCTCTAGGGGGCGCTGCTCATCTCCGTTACAAAGCTGAAGAGCCAGCGCTGTCCGAAGACGTCTCCGTGATCATGTGGCCGGCAGGACTAAACGCCTTCGAAGGCGCACGGAACACTGTTCCCTTCCCACCAAAGGGGTCCATTTTTCTACTTGCATTTTTTTAGATGCTTTTGAACGGCTAGGTTGGCAGAAGCTGCTCGGACAAGGAATGGGAGCTCACTCCGTGACGCGGTGCTAGGGATTCGGACCGCTGAACTGCCGACCTTTCTGATTGACAAGCTCAGCCACTGAGCCACCATGTCCCCACTCCCTTCTCTGCGAGAGCCCCTCAAATACTCAAAGAAAGTCATCATGTCCTCCCTAATCCTTCTCTTCAAATAGGCTGGACATTCCTAATTCCCTCAACCACTCATCGTATGATTTAGCATCCAGATCCTTTATCATTTTTGTTGTTCTTGTCTGGACTCTTTCTAGGATCTCAACATCTTTGGGAGGGGGGATGTACCATTGAAGCCTGCCTATAAAGGAGAAAGGGAAGAGTCTAGGAAAACTCACAGTAAGTGTAGATAAACCTATTTCTGACACAAAAACACATATAGTAACAGGCACCCAAAAGTCGTCTTCTTTTTAAATGTCCACAAAGGAAATAATTTAGATTTGAGATGCAAGTGATGTTCTGGTGAATTTGGGCCACTTCGGATGTTGCTGTGGTGGCTTTTCAGACATCAACTTTCTGTGACCCACACAACACCATCGGAAATGAACCCTCCTGGGGTGAAGTTTCACCTCTTAAGTCCTCTTCCTGTTTTGATGTCCCATCTCTAAATAGCTAAGGGTTCAAGGCAGTGGTATTCCCTTCAAGGAACAAAGGCCTTCCTTTCATTTGTCTCATTAATCAACTGCCGGAAATGGATTGGTCAGGTCACCGAGCACAAGGAAGTCCACCTCAAAATAGCATGGATTTCAGCATGATGGAGATCTAACCATTTCTTTGCAGGGCGTCCTCGACTTAGGACGGATTGGGACCCCAATTTCTGTTGCTAAGTTAGGCAGTTTTGAAGGGAGTTTAGCCCCATTTTACAATCCTTCCTTCCTTCCTTCCCTTCCTTCCCCTTCTTCTCATTTTTCTTGCTTCCTTCCCTTATTTCTTTCCTTCCTTCCTTTCCTCTTCTTCTACCTTCCTTCCTTCCACACATGTCAAGTCAAGGGGAGAATGTTTTAGACTGAAATTTTAGACAGAGGTTTCGATATAGAAAGCCTTGGAGATGCTGAAAGAAGCTGAGATCTATGCATTCTTCTCCCGGGGAGCCTGTTTGATTCAGGTCAACGTGCTGGGATTGGCCTCTGTAGACCTTCATCCAGGTTCTGGGCAGTTTCAAATTGAGCAGATGCATTTGTATCCTTCTCTTCAAGGAGAGGAGACATTATTCAAACAGAGCTCTTTTTTTTCTAAAGGAAGCTGCAAGAGACAATAGAAGTGGAGTAGATGAGGCTGAAGAGGGGTAAACAACCCAAAGTACATGCTGGATTAGACACCACCAACACCACTATCACCACCATTATCGAAGAGCAGCAGCAACCCTTTAATCATAATTCACAGGTTCTTCAGGAAAGAGTCCTTGAAGCGTATCTAGAACCAGCAACATCTACTTTGGCCAACGTGGCTTATTGTCAGGATGGGAGCTAGCCAGGGTGTTTCTGATCTTTGGAAGGCTCCAAAGCCCGTCTTCTTTACCCAATGTGGCTTATTGTCAGGATGATGGGAGGTAGCCAGGGTGTTTCTGAACTTTGGAAGACTCCAAAGCCCATCTACTTTACCCAACGTGGCTTACTGTCAGGCCAGATGGGAGCAACTTGACCTCTATGGATAGCCAACTCCCTCAAATGGAGAGAAGAAATTGCATCCACGTTTGATCTCATGAAAGGAAAAGGTTTATTCATGGTTCCAGACTACATAGAACTACCACAAGGGAAGACTTCAGTTCAGAGTGTAATCCAGTTAGAAAGTAAACACCAAACGGTTTAATACATTAGAATCACTGCCACTTTTCTTTTTTTTCCTTTTGCAATTCAGCCAATCAGGTTCAGAATCACATACTATATAAAAGAGGAAAATAAAAAATAAAGGAAAGAAAGAAAAATAAAGGGCACCCACCCACCCTTTCCCTAATTATACAGGGTGAAATATATTGAATATCAAAGAACGGTCTGCTTTACAATCCATTATCGGTTTCAGGTTTTTTTCTTTTCTTTCTTTCTTTCTTCTTCTTTTTCTTTCGTGTGAATTAAGATCGTAACAGGATGAAAGAACATTCAAAATGTTTCTCCATATTTACAAACAGTTTGACTGTTTAGCGTCAGAACTCAAAATTTCTATTTCAAAGCTTCAAAGGGTGTCCGGGTGTGTGTGTGTGTGTATGTATGTGTGTGTGTGTTTTTAATATATATATATCTATTTATATTTATATATAGTATCAGGTCTGTGTTTTTTTTTTTTTTCAAAAGTCACAAACGCAACCTGGATTTTTTTTTCTTTCTTTTCTTTTTTAAAAAAGTTTTTCTTTTTTTCCTTATTTAAAAGATTACAATGTACAATTACATGAAGAAAGAACAAAAAAGAGTCAGTTACAAGATGGTAAAAATAAACACTCCCCCAAAAATAATCATAATAAAGGAGGGAAGAGATTAAAGAAGGGGAAGGGGGAAAGAAAAAGAAAATACAGCGTGAGTATTGTTTAGAGCAGGCTTCCTCAACCCAGCACCCTCTGGGTGTGTTGGACTACAATTCCCATCAGCCCCAGACAGAAGATATGGCTGGACCAATGATGGTGGACGCTGATCGGTCTATGATATCTCGAGAATCCCAGGTTGAAGAAGGCTGGTTTAGAGGTAGTAGGTGAGCACTCTAAGCTAAAGAATGATTCTATTGGTTCGCATGAGGTAATAAAGCTGTGTTTTGATTGGTGAGATGTATAAATATTCTTTTTAGCTACACTATATACAACACCCATCGGCCGGCACGGAGGAGCGATGGCCAAACCTCGGCAGATGCAACTCAACGTCGACTGTCAAACTTGGCAACCTGATTCAGATATATATATCTATATATCTAAATTAAAATATTATATGTATATATATATATATTTGCAAACATCAAAAGCCAGTGCTTCCGCCTCACACGGATTGTCTGTGTTGGACAACAGACGAGGAGGAGAAGAGGACTGTGCTATCATCAGTTGCGAAGGTTCAAAAGGAAGAAAACCATCCTGGGTGAAAGGAGAAAATTCAGCAGAAAACCAAAAAAAAAAGCATTAAGAAGAGCTTCTCACCCTGCTCTGAAAAAACTGGGGCACAACCAAGATTTGGGCATCTCCCTTCCAAAGGCGCTGGAAATCGGGTGGGGGTGAAAGTCTGCCAGCTCCTCCTCCTCCTTTTCCTCCCATCACCGCTCAGTCTGGTGCTGATCATCAAACTTTTTGAGTTTATCCTTAAGAATAAAGTCTTTGATGGCCTCTTCGAGCCGAGAAAACAGTTAAGTGGGTGGCCACCTTTGAAAGAATCTGCTGGAGAATGTTAGAAAAACCACGCGCCATCTTGGCCCTCCGCTGGATAAAGTGCTTGCTTTGTTTATTTTTATTTTTTTTCCCCCTTAATATGGAGCGAGGGCGCACTTCTCGGTGAGATTGAAGTACAAAGGTTTAAAAATCACACCTTCCGGGGGAGGTAAAATTGTGTGTGGGGGTTTTTTTGTTTTTTTTTGAGATATATCAATGACCACACAAAAAACAAGGTCACCCAAGTTTTGCAGTACGACAAAGCGGTACAGAAAAAAAAGGATTCTCCGCGGTGAGCTGTGAAAAGATTTCTTTGGGGTTTTGTTTTTTTCCCCCTCCTTCTTCTTTTCCTTGTCTTTTCCTCCTGGGATGAAGAACGAACACAGAAGGCATCTCAGCGCATGGCGGGCCAGGAAAGGGGGAAGAGGAAGGACCGGTCGGGAGATTAGTTAGAGGTATCGGACTGCACGCTTCCCGGCCCTTCTGTTGGAGAAGTCACAGAAGACGGAGTGGTTGCATCCTGCCAACCTCCATTGGCCTGGAGAAAGGAAGAAGGAAACGGAAGTCAGGAGGACTGATTGTGACCTCACTTTGGGAATCCTTGGCAATTCACCAGGAACTGGGTTACGTCTAGTTTGATGAAAAGAAGGACTAGGGGGTGACATGACTGCAGCCTTCCAATATCTCAGGGACGGCCCCAAAGAAGAGGGAGTCAAGCTATTCCCCAAAGCACCCGAGGGCAGGACAAGAAGCAACGGGTGGAAACTCATCCAGGAGAGAAGAAATTGAGAACTGAGGAAGAAATTCCTGACAGTGAGAACAATTAATCCCCAAAATTTTCTTCTCCTTAGAAATAAAACCAAGCAGAGTCTGTGGGTGCTTTCTGTGGGGAGTTGTTTTCTGGCAGACATTTCGTTACCCAGCTAGGTAACATCATCAGTGCTGGAAGGGAATGGGGCTTGCTCTCTGATTATATGCAGTATGTGTTTATAGGGGGAATATGTATATGTTTTCTTGCAGGAGGGAGGGAGGGAGGGAGGAAATGGGAAGGAAGGGAGGGAGAGGGATGGAGACAGGAAGGAAGGAAGGAAGGAAGGAAGGAAGGAAGGAAGGAAGGAAGGAAGGAAGGAAGGAAGGAAGGAA